TGGCTACAGCGCTGCCCCATGCCATGCCGTCCAAGCTGGGCAGTGCCACAAGATTGTTATCTAACCAACCCACAAGGGGAGAGAAAAGGAGCCTGTCACTTCAGAGTGGGGAGCTGCAGTACGGGGAGCTGAAATGACCTCTTTCAAGGTCTTGTGAATCCTCTGTCCCAGGGCTCATAATTCTCCCTGTAGGGGTTCACCCACGTGATAACCTCTCTCCATTTCAGGCCTATATGAAAGCACAAATGTCTTGGCCTTTTCCTTAAGCACTTAGTACTCATCAAAGATAATTTTTCTGCCTTGATTTTCTTCACCGCGGTCCTGCCTTCTTTTCCGCTCTGTCAGAAGGACCCATTGTCAATGTCTGACCCAGGCGCACAAGGCAGCCTTTTTTCTCTAATGTGAAAAAAAAAAAAACAAACAAAATGAAATAAAGAACAGTCTTGGCAGTCCTCTTCTGCAGCGGTAGGATTTATCTTTCCAGCCCTTGCAATACCCTCACAGGCCGATGAAACAATCCATCTCTCACCTGCTATTATGGAGTTCATCTCGCAAACCTAATGGCGTAAGTGAGTTCTGAATTCACTCCCATTAATGCTTTCAGCGTTCGGGTCGCTGTGGGAAGTGGAGTGGGAATTCATTTTGAAAATCGATGCGGCTGTCAATAGAGTGGCTTCCCCTGGGGAGGCAACGTGCTTTTACTGGAGTTTGCCCGTTGCTCCCCTTTGTGCCCCGTCTTGTTTTATGCTTTCGGAGTAACAGGGATAATCACAGAGTAATTAATCCTGCTTTCAATGACCACTGCTTTTGTGCTATGTTCCCCAACTTCCCCAAATCAAACTGATTTTTAAAAAGGGGGTATGTCTTCTGGCACTGTGGGATTTGGTGGGTAGCAAGGACTCTTGCATTTCTAGTTTGCAGTGCATCAGTCAGACCACTGCAGGCCATGGTTATGTCAGGAAACATCTCAATCACGGAAGAGTTTGGATGGCATGGGAAGACGTAGCGGAGGATGGAGAAGAGTTGTAAAATGGCTGCTCAAGTAGCTAGGCTGGTGCAAAGGGTAATTTCGTAAAGCAAATAGGAGCTCATAGAGTCCAATGCTGCAGAGCGCTGAAAAGCAGCGAGATGGAGAAGGGGCAAGAAGCATCTGCGAGGTGGCCAGCATCAAGCCGAGCCCTGGCTCTCCTCTTTGGCCATGTCAGCACTAGTAAATCAACCAGGGTCATACGCAGGCTGCAGGTCCCTCTGTCATCTGGACTCTGTAATTGTAAACTCCTTGGCATATTTTGGCCTGTGCTGCCCAGTGCCCTCTCAAGTAACCCCCAGGGGACCGTAGCACTGCTCAGGGGCAATTCCCTGTGGACATTTTCCCACTGTTTTCATGGGAAGAGAGTTTAGGCCATTGGACATGAGCCAGGCCAGGCCATGTGGCCTCTGGACCAGAGCTCAGGCCTGTTATATTTAGCAGAATAAACACACTCTGATGGCTGCACCGGGGGCTGTCGAATAGTGCAACTTAAAGCAGCAGCAGGAGGCAGGAGACATGTTCCTGTTCCCTCTGTTGTGGGGCCACTGATGCAACCATGCACTGATCTGTGAACTGTCTGCACGGGGAAAAAAGAGCAGATTTGCTACAGCTGGGGAGCGTGTGGATGGGTTTTGGAAGCACAAAGCTTGCAGGGATAGTGGTGGAGGAGAGCGCAGGACAGGAGGAGCGCAACTTGGTGCAATCTCATCCAGACCGCTTCCCCAGGGGGTCCCTACGGGCAACAGTTCTCAAAATCAAGCCCAGGCGTTGATGTAGAGGACGCTGCATGGGAGCAGACCAGAACCACCAAACAGTGTGGACAACCATCTCACACCCCGGTGTCTTCTGCTTAACAGCAGAGATGTCCCCAGAGGCAATATTCACACTGGTTAGCTAAACGAGTCCAGGACATGGACACGGCATTGATATGCCATCATCCATACCATTAAATGTTTAACTCCCTTTCTTGGAACGGTCTTGGTCAGGACCCAGTCTCCTGGGCAATTCCCAGCCATGATTTGGGAGATGGCAGGACCAGGGCTCGTTCCTGGTAGGCACTTCGGACGTGGCCAACGCTGTTTTGGATAGCAACGTGGACATGGACTCTGCTACACTGGTTGGCCCCAAGGCCAGCTAGGTTTTATGCTGCTGGAGCTCACCAGGCTCCCTTTTCAATGGGGATCAGTCTGCACTAGTATGAGAGATAAATATTTAATAAGAATGAGGGTCAAGTAACTGTTTTGTCCAAGGACACTGAGACAGCTATTTACTCCCATGAAGAGCACCAAGGGATCTTTAATGACCATGCAAAGAAGATGGGAGTTGGAGTTTTAAGCTCTCATCCCACACCATTAATGTCAATGTTAAATATTGATCCTTCCTGTGCTCAGCGCAAACCAAACAATAGAGTCAAGCCACACGCTTTGGCTTTTATTAATGTACTTTCTCTGTCTCAGTAGAAGTTTGCAGTATCACAGGGAAAAAATGTAACGGCAGGGAAAGAACAGCAGACAGATCGATTTTGTATCTTGACACAATTTCGAAGCCAGTGAAAAATCGCCCAGTGCGGAGCAGCTCTTTGTCTCAGCCCATGCTGGCCGTTTCACGCAGAAGGGGAGCTGGAGCCTGTTCGTGATTACACTGATATGAAGGCCATGTGGCACTGATTTCTGTATTCAGGGAGAGGGTCAGGACCGAGATTTCTTGTAGGATTTGAGAATTGAGAGAAGGACTGTATAGAGAGATGGGAAAATCTGTAAATTCTGAAAAATCTTATGCATCGGCTGCTTTCTGAAACCTCATTTGAGGAGATGCCTACGATCACATTAGGGGAAACATGTCAGGAATTCATAAGTTGGTGATTGCCAAAAACTGGGTGGATTTACCCAGGGAAAGA